GCTTCCATGAACATAGCTTTGACATTTCATTTCATCACATTATCCTTTCGCTGCCTATCATTACTGATGTCATCTCGATACTCCCCTGCCATTCTTCCTCATTTCTCAATGATTGCTGTTAAGGCCTGATCGATATTTCTCCGATATCTACAGAAACAGTTTTTCTAGCATTCTGGCTACTCTGAGCTCCTCTTCTCCAATATCTTATCTTCCATTATACTTCATCTAACTACTCTCACAGGCAATTCTTCTCTTTGATTATTACAAATAATTGCAATGATTGAAGTTCCTCCCATTTTTTTCTTTCATTGCATTCTCTAATGACCACTTCTTCTCTTTGAATTTTAAAATTGTAATCAGATACGTTATATATAAAAGAGTGTGTGTGTTGTTATCATGTGTGTTTAAGCTACAGTACTACTTACAGTAATGTAAGAAATATTTCATTGTTTAAGAAGTTTTTTTCAAATCTATTACATACTCCAGATTACAATTAGTTGGCACACACATATAAAAGGACTGATGAATTAAGAAAAAGGTAAAAATAATAAATAGATTTGTTTTGTTGTCTCATGTTATTGCTAGAATACAATTTACTCCCTTATGACTAAGACTGAAACATTGCATCATATCCCGTTCACTTGTGTGAAGTTTCAAAGTAAGTGAGACAAAAGAGACAGTTTAATCTGAATGTATAAACATCTGAGTTCATAAAACAAAGCAAGAAATTCAAAGGAAATCATCTCGTTTACTGCTGAAATAGTATAAATTTTCTGACAGCAATTTAGAAGTACGTGTCGAAATACTCATTTCCTTTGGCCATCAATTCCTCTCACAGGAATTTATTCTAAGAAAGCAAAATAAAATGTGGGTAACATTTCATGCATAAAGATGTTCACTACAATATTATTTATAGAACAGTTCACGGAAAATAATCTTTATGCCCATGGGTAAGAAAATGGTCCAACAGGAAATAGCTATTGTACAGCCATGTTTATGAAATTTTTAATGATACAATTGCATTGTGATACTGTTTTGTTTCTCTAAATATATACAGTGCTAACTTAAATTATTCTTTAAAATGTAAAATAGAAAATAAATAAATCTGGAAGTAAATATGCCAAAGGTTAACAGTTTTATGCTTTTGGTAGTAAGATTATGGGTAGATGCAGGTGTTTTCCTCGCCTTCTAATAATTATTTATATTTTAAAATTTTACTATATTGAGAATTAGCTACTTTAATAATCGGTAAGAGGAAAGTAAATTTTAAATGGTGTAAAGAATATAAAGCAAGACAGAAAACTGTACTTGAACAATTGAAATAAATAAATTTAAAAAAGAATATAAAGCAAATGAAACAGTTTAAATAGTCGAGGCATGCCATTTTGTTTCCCCTTATTGGCTAAAGTTTTATCATGAATGTTTAAACAGGATGATTTATTTACATATCACATGAGTATTCCGCTGCATCAATAGTAAATTTCCACATAAGAACATCTAACACAGGTTTTTCAGGGGGAAAATTACTTATCAATAAAGGTACAAGAATGTTCAGGTTTCATAGACTCTTGCAAATGCAATACTTAGCCCCTTCTTTTGGAAGTTAATATATCAGTCCTGGAATACAGCACTGTATGTTCCAAGTTTTTATCACTTCCTAAAAATATCAAGAAAGGTAATTCAAAAGCTAGACCTGTTTATACAGTATATTTGATGCTATGATTTTTAACACTCATTTAATGAAGTCAGCCTTTGATGACTAATAGTTCTCTTGCCCCCTACTACCAAACCCTAAATAAGGTTCCTAACTAGATTACATTCAGGCAGGTCTCATTTTAAAGGAAATTGAAGAGATGGAAAAAGATTATAAGAAGAGACATTATAAAAACAGACCTCACAAGTCAAACTTAATAGTAAATCATTCTCTTTCATGTACACAACCATGAAAACAAATATCCTGTGAGCTAGAGACATATATTGTATCTTTTCAGCAGATCTTTATGACTTTTTGAGATAGATTTCCATAAATATAATATGATTATAGTTGATGAAGCAGTGGCCCACGGAAAGATGGTGATAAAGCATCAGCCTCCAAGCAACCAGATGAACATGTTCATGATTTCTAATTGTAACAAAGGCAGGGTAATACTGGATGAAGACAGAATCCAGATAGGCAGAAAATATTGATTCCTCCAGCTTTAAAAATAAGGATCTATAGAACAGTACCAACTCTCTTACTACAATAATCCCTTGAGATACATTCATGTTATTTGCTTACTTAATTGGTAGACAAGACTGCAAAAGAGGCTGCATGACTTTAACATGTAATATGAATATTTTAACACTCTGGAAGAGACATTTTACACCACAACAAAAACATACTTGTAAGCAAACTAGAGAAGCCAAAACAAGAAACACTCTAATGTAGGAGCGACTTGTCCAAAAGACCATCTCAGGCATAACTCCCAAATTTTCCCTGACTTTCTAGTTACCTCCCACCCCTCCTCCAGACCTCCATAGGAGCTATATAATAATACACTTTGTAAAGAGATTTAGAAGAAAGAACTAGGTGGTGAATTTAAGTGGCCTAAAATTAAAGAAACACTGTAACTTCAGAGTTTCCACTAAGGTTCTGTTTAGCAAAAGATATAATGGGTAGATGATGCTGCTGTTTGAAAAGTTAACAGGTCTCATTTCTTAGGAGTCAGTGGATTCCTGGATGCAGTAGGCAAGCTGAAGGATGTACATATGCTTTAAGCAAATATGCTGTGCATACAGAGGAGAAGAGTAAGCCCCTTTGTGAATTTAGAAATCCTGACCTACTATACTTCTTTAAAAAAATGCTTCCCTTCCTTTGTACAAATTGAATTATACTGTCCCACAATTATTGCTTTTCAGTAGTGTGTATACGTGCCCACCGCTACGGACTAAAGTGAGACAGGAACAGCAACAGAGGAATAAGAGGTCCTGTGTTTACCTCATGAGAGCAGAGATCTCTACGGGGGACCCAAACTCGGAATGGTAAGACTCAGTCTAACACATCTGGCCAAAGCCTTCTGCTGTGAGTTATATTCTCAAGACTCATTAACACAGACTCTGGAAAATGCACTTTGAGAAGTACTGATTGTCTTGGTGAAACAAGCTGGACAATTCTAGAGTCAGGTGAACTCCTGCAGGTAAAGTTAGGCTTTCCTAAGTTGGGTGGAGAGGAGAAATATTGTTATTCTTACTATGAAAAAGAAATGAGCGAACCACACGATCGTGGTTCGATTCCCAGTCAGGGCACATGCCTGGGTTGCAGGCCAGTTCCCTGCAGGGGACGCATGAAAGGCAACCACACATTGATGTTTCTCTCCCTCTCTCCTTCCATTCCTCTCTAAAGATAAATAAATAAAATCTTAAAAAAAAAAAAAAAAGAAATGAAAAAGGACTTTCTTTCCCATGGGAGAGAAATAAAACCAAGAAGCAAAGCCAGGAACTGAAGTTCATCTCTGAGTAGCTCTTTATGTGTAGTTTAACTTTTATTTCTTTTTTATAAATATTTTATTTGTTTACTTTTACAGAGAGGGAAAGGGAAGGAGAAAGAGTGGGAGAGAAACATCAATGTGTGGTTGCCTCTCCATGTGTCCCTTACTGGGGACCTGGCCTGCAACCCAGGCATGTGCCCTGACTGGGAATGGAACCGGCGACCCTTTGCTTCACAGGACTGTCCTCAATCCACTGAGCCACACCAGCCAGGGCACTTTAACTTATCTTGCCACTTCTCCTGAAATGTTGAGAGAAATCATATTTAGCTAACAATGTTCAGAGTTCCCCCTCATATTTTGAATTCCTTCCAGTTAGCCCCTCAACTTCGGTAAACATTACATACACCAAGCCCCGTGTCCGCCATGTTGTAGGAAAAATTAAGGGAATTGGAGTAAAGTGACAGGGCTGTCCCAGCACCCCTTCCCTGCTGAAGCCAGGGTGCCAGGAACAGCCCTGCGCCAAACGAGACGACAGTCCCCGAATCCCAGACACTGAACACTGACTAACACACAATTCAAGTTGCAGTTGAAAGAAATAGAGAGAAGCAAGCAACCAGGTGAAAACAAATAGGATAGATTGACTTGGGAGGAAAAATTAAACTGCTCACTTTCTCCTAAAGATACTGAAAAAAAAAAAAGTCCCCGCATGAAAATGGCAAAGGTTAGGTTTCAGGGCTATGCTCTCATCTGCTTAAAAGAATCATGTCTCTATGTCTACAGAGTTTGTGGACAGCTTTCCATGATGACTTGTCTCAGTATAACACCATGATAACTGATTTACTAGGGTTAGATTTTTGTTAATGTTAATTCAAAGCATAAGTATTTACGGTAGTTCTCTTTTCATCAATATACTCTTTCACTCAAAACAGATTTAATGGGGTTATAAAATCATACTATTAGAAAATGTAATTGATGAAATCCTGGATAAAAGATAGATTAATAAGATCAGATTTTTTTAAAAACTCAGTACACAGAAACAAAAGCAAAAAAGTTTTCCACAATCATTACAGTGCTATAAGATTGGCTCCGAATTTTCCACCAGCCAAAGCAATGGGCAAACAGAATGAGTTACGAGGATCATATTGTTTTGAGATATACATATCTTACTGTGCACGAGAAAAGCATGTTCTGAAACTGAGACCCTGTGAGAAATGTCTAATGATTAAAGGTTTCATACAGAAGAAATAATATAGCACACCATAATAAACGTAATACAAGGTACTTTCTATGGTTTCTTATTGTGTTGCTCAAGGAAGCTTCAAATATCGACTTAATGTTTCCATCTGTAAGGAATAACATTTTGTTCTCAGATAATCTATTTGTATTATTGAAAAACCAGTAGATAATAAAAACAATATATTATGCCTATTTCTCTGTATCTCTTGAAACAAAATAATATGCTCATTAATTTTTAATATTACTAAAATAAAACAAAAGCATAATGTTACCAAAACCATGTACTATTTCCCTCACCTGTGATTCTTTCACATTTTCAACAGTAAAGTTGAACCAGACTCGGAAGCGTGGATTACAGGTATCCGGCCTAATGAACAAATCATACTCAAACTCAGAGACCTGGTCCACCCGTCCAAGGTTACCTGGCAATAAAAAATAAGAGAACTGGGTTTTAATAGAAGTTCATGCAGCTCCATGGTACATACATTTACACATTAGCAGCTCTGGCAGCAACACTTGCTATCATTCAGCACAGCATTCACAATCTCTAAGGCTGCCAACTCTAAGTGCAGACCAGGATAAGAGAAGGCTTTCGGCTATGCTGGGCTGTTGTGCAAGCAGCTTTTCCAATGTTTATTGCCCAGCAGATCCATTTGTGTCTTTGGCAGATAGGTATGCTGTATGGAGCACATGTCAAGCCCCCATAAATGAAATAAGAATTACAATCAAACTTCAGTTTCCTAGTTCAAAAAACAAGGAAGATAATACATGAAGTATTTTCTATTAAGCTTTATGGTATACAAATTAACTCTAATATATTTGATCTTACTTAACTCTCAAATGCAAGTGGGCTATGCATTTGTACTATGTATGGTACATCTTCAAATTTCTATCAGAACACGTTACAGAATATGTAAAGTAGAGAAAGTTTCTAAATAAAAATTAGTGGTTACTATGTAAGAATAATAATGGTAAATTCACAAACCATAAACTTTCTATTCTCTCCAAAAATAGAAAGGTTATATCAAAAGTGTATAAACTGAAGTGTGACTTCTATTCTTTGTCTCTCCTCTTTCTGATATTCAAATAAGCAGTCAATTGCCCAAAATGTAAATAGTAGGATGGAAAAATAATCAAAGAGTTTGGTCAGTTCCTAAACCAGATCATCAACAGCTAAAAAAGAGTGAAGATGACTATAGACATAAACAGCAACTGATTGAAATGTCAGTATTGTATTGCACTTGAAGAGCACAGCAATAGGTTGCTTAAAAGTGAACTCTAGTGTCTTTGTAAAAAAAAACATTCAGAATTAAACTTTAACCTTATGTGTGCAAAAAATTTTAATTGTTTCTTTTACTAGTTCCACTGGCACCAATTTTATTTTTGGTTTTGTTTTTTTGAGCACCCATTGTGTTGTAACAGATGGAGTACTAGGCCTGTGAGTCAGCAGACCTGAATTCTGGCTCAACTGACTTACTGAGCAACAATGGGTAAGTTGTTTACCCTCCTGGGGCCTTCAACAATAAACATCAGTATGCTCCAGAAGAAGATAAAAGAATTCATTTTCAAAAATGTATCATCTGTTGTATCTAAAGTTACTAGACATTCAATATATATATACATATATCAAGTATAACCAAGGGAGTGGAGAGAAACAATACAAATCTACAGTTAGATCAGATGTGTAATTTAGCAGACAAGGACTTGAACTTGGCTATTATAAATATAGTCCTTTTGATGTATCTATCATACATAGATGCTCCTCTCCCTCTCTCCCTCCCTTCCTCTCTCAATTAATTAATTAATTAATTCCGAGAACAAAAAGTATTAAAGAAAAATAATCTTCATGTGTGAATAAATAGGAAATTTCATTATGGAAATGGCAACTTTTTATAAGGACCAAATAAGATGTCTACAACTAAAAGGCACAATTATAGAAATGTAAAATGAACTGAATGGGCTTAACACTAGATTAAAAATTATAAAGAAAGGGCCAGTAACCTTCATGAATCAATTAAAAAGTCATATGATCTGAAAAAGAGAGAAAAAACACTGAATAAAAATGAACAAAGCCCCAGAAACCAGCGGAATAATAACAAATGATCTACCACACATATAAAAGATATATCAGAAGAAAAACAGAATGAACAAATGCAAGAAGGGATTTATTGTAGGGCACAAAAATGTTTTACAATGATGAAAATACTGTGTGACTATAAGAATAGATATTTGTAATTATATATTTATCCAAACCAATAGAATGTACAATACCAAGAGTGAACTATGGACTTCGGGTGCTTATGATATATCAATGTAGGCTCATCAATTTTAACAAATATACTACCCTGGTGGGGGATATTGACAATGGGAAGTCTATGCATGTGTGGGGTCAAGGGATATATGGGGTATCTCTATACTTTCCTCTCAATTTTGCTATAAACCTAAAATCATTCTAAAGATAAATTTTAAACAAAAGTTTTAAAAAATACTTTGCTAAATCATAGTTCATATTGTTCACTCTAGAACCACCATTAAAATAAAATAAAAAGAGTAGCCCTGGCTGGTCTAGCTCAGTGGATTGAGCACGGGCCTGTGAAGCAAAGGGTCGCTGGTTCGATTCCCAGTCAGGGCACATGCCTGGGTTGCGGGCCAGGTCCCCAGTAGGGGGTGTGTGAGAGGCAACCACGCATTGATGTTTCCCTCCTTTCTCTCCCACTCTTTCTCCTTCCCTTCCCCTCTCTCTGAGAATAATAAAATATAAATAAATAAATATATAAATAAATATATAAATAAACAAAAAGAGTATTACTAAGAAAATATAAAATACTAACCCATGGACAAGGACAACAGGTTCGAGGATTAAATGTGGAAGTCGGGTGGGCAGGGCAAGAGAGAGCAACGGGAGAAAATGGCGACAGCTGTCATGGAACAACAATTAAAAAAATTTAATAACATTAAGTAAATATTCTAATTGTTGTTCAAGTACAGTTGCCTCCATTTTCTAAATTAAAGAATAAAATCCCTTACAATTAAGTGGATTTAGATTCTTGTAAACCTTTTGATCAGCTTTTATAGGCTAATCAAGCTTCTTGGTGGGAAAGTAAAGTCAAAAAAATATATGAAATACTGAAAAAAATTGTTATTAACCCAAATGAAGAAAGTAAAAGAATAGCAGAGTACTAGCAAACAGAAAGGCAATATAAAAATGAGTAACAAGATACTTCATTTAAGTACGACTATCAATAATTATATTAAAATAGAACAGATATATAAATAGAATAAGCATTCCAATAAAAATCAAACATTGCTAAAGGGGAATAGAAAGTCAGACCCAACAAGACAGAAATAGTCTGAAATTAAATAATTATAAAGGATTTGTCACTTTCTTTTTCTAGCTATGAAAATGTAGTCCAAACTTAAACATTTCTTAATCAAACAATCAAAACCCAAAGACAAAAAGAATCTTATATGCAGCAACACAGAAGTTACTCATCACATATAAGGAATCTTCAATGAAATTAGCATCTGGTTTCTCATTAGGAACCATAGAGGTTAGAAAGCAGTGAGAAAACATATGTAAATACCTGTAAGAAAATACTGTCAAAAAATTGATAGCCAGCAAAAGAAAATATTCTTCAAATATAAGAAAGTTAAGACATTATCAGATTTTGAAACTTGCCCTACAAGAAAAACTAAAGGATGTCCTTTGGGCTATAATAAGAAAATACTAGAAAATAAATCCACATGAAGAAAAAAACAGAGCAACAGCAAATGTAACTACATGAGTAAATATAAAAGAGTATAAATATATTTTGCTTGTAGATTTTTGTCCTATTAGTATAAAACACAACCACATAAAGCAATAATTATCCATCTGTACAGAGAGTATATAGCATATCCAAAATTACTTTGGATTATTACTTTGGGTTATAATCACATGACATGTGATTATAAATGTGTATATTATTGAAATTAAGTTTGTATTAATTTGAACTAGACTGCTATCAGTTAAATTAAATTCATTATAAATCTGAGGCAATCATTAAGAAAAGAAACTTTAAATACAGTAAACCAATAAGAAGAAAATTAAAATATACACTAGGTAATACCTATTTCACACAAAAGAAGACAGTAATGAAAAAATGGGGAAAGACATAAAACATACTGAGAGTAGACAGCAAAATAATCTTATCAGTACTTATAATAAATGTAAATGAACTAAAAATTCCAAACAGCCCTGGCTGGTGTAGCTCAGTGGATTGAGCGTGGGCGCCTGCAAACCACACGATCGCGGTTCGATTCCCAGTCAGGGCACATGCCTGGGTTGCAGGCCGGTTCCCTGCAGGCCAGTTCCCAGCAGGGGACGCACAAAAGGCAACCATACATTGATGTTTCTCTCCCTCTCTCCTTCCCCCACTTCCCCTCTAAAGATAAATAAATAATAAAATATTAAAAAAAAATTCCAAACAAAAGGAAAAAATTTCAGAATTAATTTTTTAATGAGGCAACCATACGCTGTCTGTAAGAGATGGACTTAGATAAAAACATACAAAAAGGTTTAAAGTAGAAAGAAGGAAAATAATATACTAAGCAAGGCAAAAAAAAGATGTAATGTCAATACTAAAAACAGAAAAGATCAACATTAAGGCAAAAATTGTTAGAAGAGACATAGAAGGATGTTTTATAATGGCAAAAAAGCATTCCATCAAGAAGACAAAGAAAAAGAATTAAAATTTGCAAAATCAGAGATCAAAAGAAGGACATGCTATGATCAATGATATGGCAACAAATTAGATGAAATGGGCAAAATCCTAGAAAGACAACAAAACTAATTAAAGAAAAAATATTCATATCTAAATAAACATAAAATAAAAAGCAAGACTGATTTAAAAATAAAATATCTCTTCCCGCCAAAAATGAAAAAAAGAGAATATGTCAAATGCATTCGCTGGGGCCAGAATGACCTTGAAATTAAAATCAAGGACATCATAAGAAAATTACAGCCTCCTGGTTGGTGTAGCTCAGTGGATTGAGCGCGGGCCTGCGAACCTAAGTATTGTGGTTCAATTCCCAGTCAGGGCACATGCCTGGGTTGCCCATGAGAGGCAACCATACATTAATATTTCTCTCCCTCTCTCCTTCCCTTCCCCTCCCAAGATAAATAAAAATCTTTAAAAATATTTTTTAAAAACCTACAAATCAGTATAACTTATGAATATTCACCCAAATATACTCAACAACATAATAGCAAATTAAATCCAGCAATATACAAAAAGGGTTATATGTGGTGACAAGTGGGACTTGTCCCCAAAATTCAGTATTAGTTCAACTTATGAAAGTCAATTAATGCAATATAGCACATTAATAAAGGACAAGAAACATAACCATCTCAGTAGGTGCAGAAAAAATAATTTGCAAAATT